TTTGGTTTTTAGTTGCTGTTAGAAAGATGCTGCTTTAGTTTCATTCTCTCGCCTTTTACGATACTAACGGTATGACACGAGGTAGTGAATATTCTTACACTGCCACTTCAATGTCAATTTTTTGTAAAAATGATGATGGCGATGAATTTATTTAAAATATTATTATCTCATGTGTCGATCAAGCTTTATTGTATAAAAACAGTACGAATTTTTTAACAGTACAGTAACCTATTTTCGTATAAAACTAAAATTTTTTATCGCGTTTATTTAACTGATTTTACTTATTTTTAATTCCCGACGATTCGGGTGCTTTACAGCACCCATGGTCACGGAGGGGGGGGACTGAGATGTTTGACGTCCCAATGTCATATTCAAAATCATAATCCATAATCCATAAACACTCACGCCTGTCACCCAGAGGGGTAGGCAGAGACTACAGATTTCCATTTGGCACGATCCTGACACACCTCTCTCGCCTCCTTCACATCCATACACCTACGCATACATGCTCGTCGGTTAAGGGTACTCTTAATTTGGCCCGTTTCCAATAAATCGCCAATTTGGTCGATAAATTTTCGCCTAGGACGTCCCTTTCCGACTCTGCCATTCACTTCTGCAACATAAATTTTCTTTGTCACTCTTTCCTCATTCATTCTTTTCACATGACCAAACCACCGAAGCATTCCTTTCTTAATCCTGGTCACAACATCATCTTGCAAACCACACTCTTCTCTTATTACACAATTTCTTACCCTGTCATTCAGATTCAGCCCCAACATACTCCTTAACGACCGCATTTCTACTGCGTTTATTCTACTCTCGTGCTTCTTCTGCCACACCCAACTTTCACTACCATACGTTAAAGTAGGGACCAACACAGCATTGTGAATTGCCATACGTGCCTTTTTCGACACATTTTGACTCTTCACAATAGAGTGCAAGGCCCCATTTACTCTATTTCCCGCATTCACTCGTCGTTCTATATCCTTATCATATCTCCCAACCCTTCTAAATACGCAGCCCAAATATACAAACTCATCTACTTGCTCGATCAACTCCCCTTCTATTCTTATTTCACAAATCGTTTTACTTTCTTCTCTTTCAAAAACCATAACCTTCGTCTTACTTGCGTTCACTTTCATACCCCTTTCTTTTAATGATCCGTTCATTAATGTAACCATCATTTGCAACTCGGCTGCCGACGACGCAAGAATGACTTGATCATCGGCGTACAAAAGGCATTTGACGGTTAACTCACCCATTCTTAATCCGCATTCTTCAACTTTCAAATTTTGCAAACAACTGTCCATAAATAGGTTGAACAGCCACGGGGAAGCCACACAGCCCTGTCTGACACCTTTATGGATGTCAAACCAGTCCGAGTAGACCCCGTTGATCCTAACACAAGCACTAGAGTCCCTATAAAGAGACTCCAATGCCTGTATCAAGCCAGCGCTCAACCCAAATGAGTTCAGTGTTTGCCATAGCACATCCCTATCCACTCTGTCATAGACCTTTTCTAAGTCCATGAACGTACAAAAAACCTTTTGGTTTTTGGCCAGAAACTTCTCCGCGATCATGCGCATGGAAAAGACTTGATCTGTACATCCCATTCCCTTTCTAAATCCCGCTGGCACATCCCAAATTTTTCCATCAGTTTCTTTCACCCTTTCAATCAATACCTTAGCGTACAGTTTTCCCACAATGCTAAGAAGACTGATGCCACGGTAGTTTTTACAGTCCTACTGCGACCCTTTTCCTTTATATACTGGGACTATCACGGCTTTGCACCAGTCTACCGGTACCCGCTTCAGTTCCCAGCATAAATTAAACAAGGTGTGCAGCAGGCCTGCCACCACCTCCTCTCCAGCCCTTAGCATGTCGAGTGAAACTCTATCATATCCAGGCGCCTTACCCGCTTTCATGATTTTCATTGCTTTCATTATTTCATCTATACTTATCTCGCTACCTCTTTCCTCTTCTTTCGGAGTTTTTACTTCACTTAGTACACATGATGTCTCCCCACTCATAAACACGCTTTCGAAATATTCCTTCCATCTCTTTAAACTCAAAACTTCATCATTCAAAATATAGCCATTCTCGTCTCTTATAGCATTCATCATAGGCTGTTTTGAATGTCCCCTGGCAGTTCTTACCAGTTTCCAGAACATTTTAATATTTGCCTGGAAGTTATCCGATATTCTTCTATCATTCTTATCCGTTCTTTCTTGCTTTTTTCTTTCAACTACTTCTTTTACTCTCTTATTAAGATGTCTAAAGACCGCCTTTTTTGTTTCAATATCATCATTCGTACCGCTAGAATTACCAGCCTTTGTTGCTAGTAAATCTAGCCATGCTCTCTTCTTTGCTTCGACTTCCATACGTATCTCATCATCCCACCATAACGTATTATTTTTCCTTTCATTCTTTCTCTTACTAACACCACATACTTCGGTAGCTGCATGCACTAAACCTTTCTTTACATTTTGCCATACATTCTCCAAGTCTAACTCCTTCATACATAATTCATCCAAACCACTTATATTTTCTTTCAGTCTACATTTGAACTTGTTTCTCTCACCTTCATCTTGCAACCTTTCTGTTCTAATACGCTGGAACGCAGTGGTAGACACAGATGACCGATGACGACAACGCCTGAATAGACCATTAATTCGGCATAAAACCAAATAATTATCCGTTCCTACGTTAGAAACTCGGTAAACCCTTGTATCCACCACTGCGCCCCTCAATCTTTCATCCAAAGTTATGAAATCTATCATGCTTCTATCGTCACCTCTTTTCCAAGTATACATATGAATCCTCTTGTGGCGAAAGCAAGTGTTCGTCACAAAAAGATTTTGATTTGATATCTTTCATCACCAAACGTTCCCAATATCCTTACATAACCAAGCCTCTTCACCCCAACCCTTCCATTAAAATCTCCTAGCATAATAATATTTTCATTTCCCTTACACTTCATTAACACAATCCTTACCATCTTACTTACTATACTATACTTCTTTAAACCCACTTTCATTCGTATCCATAGCAGTCTTGGGCTTACACATTCATACTCTTTCACACATTGGCCCATTCTTTCCGAAAGGTTGATACCTACTCCCTGGCATGCCCTCTCGATCTCGTCTACACCAGACCAGTATGCGGTATACATGCCATGTATAGTGACATCCTTCCCCTTCCTTTTCGTCTCATTTACGCATAACACATCTATTCCTCTATCATACATCATATCGCATACTTCATCCATTTTATCATTCATTGCCCCACATACATTCAACGTAGCCAGACTGGCTTCTGCAATCCACTTTTCGCCTCTCCGGGAGACAGAACGTGACGGTTGGCGAACCTCGTCACCGGTTTTCCTCCCAGAGATTCTTTGCACCAATACCGCATTAAAGGGGCGCCGGAAACTCGAGGCCATTTCCTTTATTTGGTTAGTCATGGTGCGAAATATGGGGTAGTATATTTTACGCCGCTACCACGGCGTGGAGCCGAGTCTGTGCTATCGGCTTGTCGCTCATTTAGCAGCTCCCGGGGGACACATGTAGGGTGGGCCTAGGAACAGGTGGTCAAAGCCTACGGACGCGAGCGACTAATCCCCCAAATATTCAAAATCAGTTAAATAATAACGCGATAAAATCCGTAAATTTAGTTTTATTCAATGTGTAATGTTCGCGTAAATCTAAGAAATCATTAAGTAACCTATTTTCATCAACAATCAATCTTAAAGATAAAGTTGGTTAAAAGGGTTCGAAGTTTTTACGATCCATGTAACTTAGATATAATTTACGAGACTTGGTCGCTTAGTAAGTGGTTAGGTATAATAAGGATTACCCAGTTCGCAATAATGGTTATTTTTTGTATAAATGATTTTCCTGGTTTATTAATTAAAGCACGCAGACTTGTGGAACACCAGCGTTAATGGCCCTTTAATAGGATCATGCACCGTCTACTACGACCTTGATGCTCTAATCAGCAAAAAAACTGGTGATCCAATTGCACAATTTCTTGGGAAGCCCATAGGAAGGAAACTTCGTAAGAAGCGCTTTGTGTCAAAGCCGGTCGAAGGCCTTCGCTATGTCCAAACTAATGGCCAACGCCTCGCACTTGGACTCTACTGCCTTCGCCCATTTATGAGCTAGGTAACCTAGAAAATCACCAGCCGAGTGACCGCGACGGAAACCGTACTGGCGTTCACTAATCAGCTGGTGATCTTCAAGGTACCGCTTGAGCTGGCTGTTAATAATAGATTCCATTATTTTAGAGAACAAGGAGGTGATAGCGATAGGCCTATAATTGGACGGATTAGAGTGGTTAGCTTTTTAAGGGATCAAGTGCACGAAGGCTGTCTTCCATGATCTCGGGACTACGCCTAGGGAGTAAGAGTACCGGAAAAGATGCGTTAAGATCGGTGGTAACTCCGGAGCACACCCCTTCAGCACAATAGGAGGAACACCATCAGGCCCACTCGACTTGTTGATATCCAGGGATCTTCTCCCTCTATGCTCTGCGCACCGAGCGTTGGGTAAACAGCACATCCTCCATGGAGCACTCACACTGCGGGATGGTCAGCGGTGTATTTCCCTCGTCATCAAGAGTCGAGTTGACGCAAATGGAGAACCCAGTAGTAGATCTCGCCTTTGTTCTTTGCGGCATGGGCCGTGAAGTCATCCTCCCTATGCAGAGATGGAAAAGATTGCTGGCAGAAGTTCCTTTGGACAGCCTTGGCGAGAGACCAGAATACACGTGTTCCCGAAGGAAGACGAACAAGTTTCTTGCCAATTCTGCCGATGTGTTCTGACTTTGCCTTAACAATGACACTTTTCAAGGCCCTAGAAGCTGAATTATACTTCTTTTTAAGAACGTTGGTATTTACACCCCGAGATGTAGATGCGCGAGCCGAGAACTGGTAACACTCCTGCTTACGATGTAACGCAATTTTTCAGGAGCAACCAAACCAATGCTGGGTTCTGCCTCAGATTTGTAGATAGGATTTAATTAAGAGCTAAATAAGTTTTAATTTTTCCTTGGGTTGATCCCTATCGCTGCTTGTTATCAAACTCATAGATGTTTAAAAGATATTAAGTAGTTTCGTCAAAATTAAGTGAAGTTTTGATAAAAAAAGAACGCTCATGAGGCGTGCACTTTTGAATTTTCAAACTATCGTGATTTTTTAATTTAATAATACCCAAATATATGCAAATTTAAAACAAAAAGTATGATACTTAATTATTAATTTCAACTTTTTCTGAAAAGTAACGATATAATTCAAAAGATGAGAAAAATCCTTCACAACTTTATTCGTTAGATAAAGCTTACCCGAGAGTTGCGATAAAATAAAAGTTTCGCAACACTTAGTATTTTGTTATAAAAATCTGCTTAAAATATAAATATCGTCTGCCTTCTTTATTAAATTTATAGGTACCTATTAGAATTAGAATAATATTTATCACTACTGCTGGAACATAAATAACTGTAGCGTAAAGTGAGTGTGTTAGGTTTAAAGGGTAAGAAATTCGACAGCCTGAGTAATTTGAGAGATGTAATAGCTTGAATGTTAAGCGCTCGCCGTAAAAATGTTAGTTCCTGAGGTACCCGGTTTCGAATCTCGTTGGCACCAATAATTTTGTATATTTCAATTTTAATGACTAACTTACGAGTTCAGTGACGATGAAAACTATAGTGAGGAAACCTGCATGAATTGAATATGGCCTTCTCCCGTTGTAAGAATTGAACATAATCCTCACGTATGGCTAGTAGATTGGCAGACTTAGTCGCACTACATAGAGCTATTTAGATTATTTTACGTTTAGTGTAAACGAGATAGTTTGTCGCCGACTACCATCACAGGCTTTGAGATCAAAAATACGAAGCTATTCTTTATACGGGTACGTATAGCGAAATACTTCGAAAACTACTACAGTGTAATTTAAGCCTCAGTTCATTTCGCTTGCGGTGCACACAACACCGCCTATACTTTTTTCTGGAACCTCTCGTATTGCTTCCTTTATTGGTAACAAGGCATTATACTAACTACTTACGGACTACCTAGATATTTGCTTATATTTAGCGTTATAACAACTTATTTAAATTGGTATAATTAACAAGTAACCTTATTTAAAAAAGGCCACAACAGAAGTACTCTCTTGCATTAAAAATAGTTTAAATAATAAAGAATTCATCGCACAAATAAATAATTGTATGATTCAAAAAATACAGACATTTGCTTTTGTTGAGCGTCATAACTTTTTATG